TCCGCTGCAGTGCTTTTGTTATCTTTGACAAACCTGGCTCCTGTAATTTAAAAAATTGGATCTTTGTGAAAGGTCCCAAGGGCTGGAGGAGTTTAAATGCAGTACGTTCTTGAAATTAATGCACAGGTCTAGCAAAAAAAAAAAAGTGAGTGCCTGATTCACTGCTGCTCTGATGTGCATAAAATCTTGAATGCTTAACTGCCTGGATGAACCATAGTGCAAAGATACTCCAGGATGTAAGTAGGATTTTGATGTCTGTTACATAATATCCACAAGTATAACAAAACCACTAGAATTTCCTTGCACTGGGTTGACAAATGTGAATTACAGTTGCTTTCTTTCTTCAGAGTTTTATCAGAATATAATCACTTGCCCAGCTTAATTGAAAAATCACTTAGGTTTATAGCTGAATTTAAACATGTTTTGTATTTAAATGACAGCTTTTGATGTACAACCATTTTTTACAGAAAGTAGTTGGTTTTTATCTGTGTTTCTGTAAAGATATTTCAAAAACTCTCATCAAATTTCTAGAGGTAAGTAATACCCCATTCAGCGCAAGGTGAAATGTTTTACATCAAATCTCCTGCTGTGTAATGGCCAATCAAAGAGTATTTATAGTGGCTGAATGGATTTTTTGGCTCAGTATTCAAAATTAAACATTTTCAAACCTTAACATTTAATGTTTTTTGCTACTCTTCAGGTTGATTTTATGTAACCCTAGATGCTCACAACTACTTGATACTCTGAAGCGACTCATTTTATGCTGAGGATCCTGCAGGCAGTAGTTTTACATTTATTACACTTGCGTAGATGGAATGAAATGTAGATTTCATAGCAGAGTCTTGTCTGTCTTCCGATAAACATTTTGTTGGGTTTGGCTTTATCTCCATCAGCATTATGCAGCAGGCCTATTTCTGAGCAAACACATTTACCAAGTGAAATTAATGACTGATGATAAATTTTGGGAATTCACAGGAAATTGTTTCTCTTGTTGCAGGTATCCCGTAAGAAGAGCTCATGCCAGCAACCATCTTTCGAGCTAGATGATTCCTACTTGGATATTAGGGGACCTCAAACTTTTTATAAGAACAGCAGATCATCAAAGGCTGGAAGTCCAGCTCACATTGCGTTGGCGCAGCCCTGCAGGAATAATCGTGATTACGGGGCTGAAGTCAGTTACAACCATCAGCAGTGTCTGAAAGAATATCTGGTAGAAAATGGCCTGCACAGGAAGTGTAACAATGTGATTTCCCCAGCCAAGCAGAGGAGCCCTCAGCATGTAAAACCTGCTCAGGGGATGGACCAGAAAGTAAATGAGTTTCGGAGCCTGTGCCATCAGCAAGCGAGTCATGGTTGTGCCTGCAGGCATGTAGGGAGCTCGGGAAGCAGCGTGCAAGGGAGCCACCATGAGGGCCAGGTACTTAGAAGAACCTATGGGCTAGTTCACAAAACCTGTGATTACTCTCAGCACTCTGGAGTTTCCAGGCCGAATGACAGTGTGGACTCGGGGCCTAACGGAACAGAGCAAGCTAAAAGGTTGTATGAAGAAAGAAGGCAGAAGATGCTTCTGCAGAAAATGGAGCTGGAAATTGAAAAGGAAAGAATCCAGCATTTATTAGCTAAGCAAGAAGCAAACTTGATCTTAAAACAGCAGCAACTACACCAATCCCGTATGGATTATAACAGGTGACTTTCGAGATTTATGGTTCAAAAAGAAATTCTAAAATTTCTAATGAACATGTATGCAATAGTTAAAGTGGGAGAACGAAACAAGTTAGGCAAGACCTGTGGCACAAATTCTTTTGAAGAGTGATTTAGAGGAGAGGAGGCTTTTTAGTGTATTAGTGTATACTGTTGGGAAACAGCATGACAGCAGAGGAAAACAGTATGTGGTGGAAAGGCAGGCACAAGAAATGCAGTGCTGAAAGACTAGGTAGGAAAAGAAGAGCAGCAGAAGAAGAGGTTGATCTTACCACATGCACTTGAAGGAATACAAACATTTGGCAAGAGAGCTGTGTAGGTGTGGATGACACAGTTGTGGCATTCCCCTTTCTTTCCTTGTCATGGGTCAGTTTGAAGTGTTGCACCTTTCTAGGTCAGGACTAGAAGAAGTGTGTTTTCCAGAAAAGATGGAGATCATTTTATATGTGTGTGGAATATGTATCTTTTTTTTCATCCATGTATATGGAAAAGGAAGGGAGCTGTGTGTTGCAAGGATGTTTTCTTTCCAGTGATGTTTGTGGAAAGAAGAATGCTAAGACTTAGGCATAATTTATGCTTAAAACTAGAAGAAGGGAAAGTCAATAACTATAGAAATATGGGATGTGGTTTGAAAGGCTGGTGGGCTTGTTGCAGAAGGTGAGGTAACAGCTTCCTGACAATGTAAATGGTTTCTCTGGGAAGGAGGGAGGAACTGATTTATTGGTATCATGCTACTAGTGTGGAGAGGAACAGTGAAAGGGAAGAGGTTAAAGCAAGTTGAATTAGCCAGTGTAACTCAGTTGAGTAGTAGCATTTCAGCATTAGGAAGGGAAAGCAATGGGGGAAAACCTAGCAGTCTTTCAGAAGAAGCAATAGGAGGGTTTCACAGAGATGCTTATTTTAACACTGTTTTAATATGGCAACTGCTGACAGCATCCTATGAGAGTCTGCATCACATGACCCACTTCTTACATTCACATGTTGTAACCAACAAGGAGGAATATATCACTTTCTCCTCTTAATCCCAGACCTCTGGTTACTTTTCAAACTGTAAAAGAGAATGCTGTAACTTAGGTGGTCTTTTGTTTGCCTTGGATTGTGGCTTACATTCAAAATAATGAGTTTATATTGCTTTAAAAATACCCGTCTTAAAAGCAATCACAGTTGTGCATGTTGAAAATAACTGAGGTCACAAACAAAGGATTATGACTTCAGGTGAGAATTAAGTCAGAACAGATGGATTCTTAATCATCAAATACCTTAATTCTGTGCATGCATCCCTCTAATGAAAAGCAAGTAGAATATGAAGGACAAACAGACTGAATTTTTTGTATTATTTTTTTCTAATGGATATTTTTCAGCATTTGAGGTATCATAAGCCCAGGGGAAAAAAAAAAAAACAAAACAAAACCCACCCCCCTTGAATGTATCTATGAAAATGTGCTTGTTAATGCCATTATGCCTATTTTAGCCTGGTTTTTTTTTTTTTTCTCCTGAACAGAACTTCATGGTTTACAGAGCTCTAGTTACTTAAAAGTATTCTATGAAAGAAAATCATATATGATCAATCTAAGGACTCAGTATTTTTGTGATCTCTTCAGAGGGGCAGGTGAAAGCACATTTGCCATACTCTTTCTAAGAAAAGCAACTAGAATATACTGTGCTTGCTCTTAAAAATATTCAATCTCTTTAGAATAAAATGTTTGATATTTACAGGTAACTCACTTAGGTATCAGTTCTGTTTCAGTTTTAGTCATATAATTCACTTTGCACTTGATAACAGGGTAAATTTATATACTACAAACAATAGAATTTTGTTTAGCTAAGCTTAAATACTCTGCTTCATTGTCAGAAGGCTCTAACCTAGTTCCTCTCTTAACATCATGACAGTTAAAAAAAAAAAAAAAGAACAACAACAACAACAAAACCCCAGTAAAATAAAAATCCATTTCTAGATAGTGTTTATTTTTGTCTATCCTTCTGCATGGGTGGAGTGCTGGTTAAGGTCCATTCTGAGCTGCTGAAAGTATTGTCATTTTATGACAAGTAACAGATCTGACTGTTTGTAATTGCTGGCTGTTAACTCTTCTGCTCTTTTAGGAAAAGTATGAATGGATCCTTTTTTTGGCCACACTGCATCATAACTGCATTCCCACATTTCCCTATTTAGCCTCAAGTGAGCATAATTCTTCCAGTCTGCAGTTTCTCCTTGTGTGAAATAGTTGCTTGGCTGTCAAAAATGGTGGGTGTACAGGGAAGGGGCAGTTCAGTGACTTCTCCTGATGCCAACCACACCAAAGCAGAGAAATATGGGTAAATCCTGGAAACAGGAATCTTACTCAAGTGAAAAGGGAGAAGTATCTCTGTTGTTGACTTTTCTGTCTTCACTGGAGGCAAAGAAAAAGGCAGGATAATCTATTAAAAATGGAGCATCCTCTCTAGGCCCATAGTTTCAGGAGAGACAACTGTCTCACAAGAATTCTTCCTTTTATGCAGCTTACACATGGTGCCTTTGAGCTCTGGTGCTGCTGGAGCTCTTATTGGAGTCCAACAGGGATGTTTGTTACTGGATACTTTGACTATTTTCTTAAGGGAGCTGGTCCTTGGAAGTCAGCACATGAAGGTTTTCACACTTTTTTTTCCCCCCAATAGTAACCCTTCGAAGTAAAGACACTGGACATAAGCCAGCCTTCCAGTACAGAAGTATATTTGAAAATGCTAAAACAGTCATAAAAACTTTTGCATTTAATGTGATTAAGTGCCCTGTTTGTAGACACACAACTTTTTGTGTTGAGTTCCTGGTGTGATGGTTTGACCAGATGCACAATCAGCTAACTCGGCTTTTTTCAGATTTAGAGGCCACGTACCTGGTTCAGAAGATGTGCCCATTGATGAAGCACCTGGAGAACTTGCTCTGATGATGAATGGCAACAGCATGGGGCTAAGGTAATTTCTCTCTTCACTTCTAAGTGCTTCACAGTGTCAGTATATCTTCTTGACAGTATGCTGTGGGGCTGCCAAGAGTATTTGTTCATGTGTTTGTTTCAGATTAAGAGCTTTTTTTCTGCAGGAAAGGTAAAATTCATTGGCTGTTGTGTTTTATGAGTCAACTCAATAGTTATGCTGACCTGTTATTACTCAGGGTTTAGGGGCTGACTTCCTGTAGAGGTCTCTGGTTTTCTGTGTCATCTTTTAGGGCTTCTAACAGCCTGGAGCAAAATGAAGTTTTCACAAAACCTTAGGTTTTGTTCTTTGTTCTGGGTACTGCTTGTTATTTTTTTCAGTTACGAGCAGAACATCTGTTTAGGCTTGATTTGGACCTGATGAAGAAATACATTATCCTTTAACTCCCAGATAGAAATCATCTTTTATAATTGGTGACAGTAACTTGATTTTTAAACACTGCTGTGTTGCACCTCTGCTTCAGTGTGATCTGAACAAATTCCCACTGAAATAACTTGAAATAAAGTTAAGCCAATATTTAGCTCTTTGTGTCAATTTTGCATGCTATTTTAAACTTTAATCAATACATTATTGTGTTTTCTTTCTGTCCTACCCTGTCACATTTCCTGTTAACACTGGGAGAAGACTCAGGCTTACTAGAAAAGCAACAAATAAAAACTGTGGATTTGATGGAATTTTTCTCCAGTTCTCAAAAAGTAACAGCTTCTTGTTCTATACTTTAACGATAGATGTTCTTTGACCAGAGTATCCCCTGTTTGGTGGACAAGATGAGCAGCTGCCCTCTGAATGGTCCCTTCTTTAGTGATAAGAGAAAACTTTAAAATAATAAGCTTTTCTCTCCAGTGTGCAAATACTGGAAGAACTTCTTGTTTATAAACTAAAGGTCAAATACTTTTTTCCTTATTTTTTAACATTAAGGGATACTGGTTTTATTTTCTTTTTTTTGGAGATCTGTCTTTAGAGAAAAGGGATAAGACTTCTTTCTCCGGAACAACAGGAGTTGTTAGTTTCCTTGGAATACTGAATTGCTTAACCAGGTGTTTGGCTGCTCTCAGTTACTGACATACCCTCCTTGTATTCTGATGCTTTTTTTGTTTCATTTTCACTCAGGTTGAAGAGATTGAAGTGTACTTAGTCATTGTAACAGAAGACATAGAGAGTCATGATACATTTAAGATGCAGTAGCATTAACCACTTGGAGAAAAAAATGTAACCTAGAACATCTGTAGGGTTTCTTGGCAACAGTTTACCAAAAATCTGCAAAACTCTACATAGCCTAGCAGAGGAGATGAGGAAAACTTGTGTTGTTAAAAAAAGTGAGTTCCAGATTTCGAAAGGTTCCCCACTCTCTCATCATTCCCTGGTTTAATTTACTGTGATTTTTTTTTAAGTTAATGTGTGTTCGTGCAGTCTCAAGTTGCCATGCCAGCTGGTTCCAAAGTTTGGCAGCAAAACACTTCAAAGTTTTTCTTCCTATATGCCAACTTCAGCTTTGCAAAGGTTACCAGATGAATGGTCCCTAAATTATTTACTCTAATGTCAGGCTGAAAGAGGCTGTGGAAGACAAGTCCATTTGTCTCTTTTATGCATTTGAATATGTAAGTGATGTTTTCTTCAGTACTGAGAGAGAGCGTGTAAGTGTGTGGCTAGAGCTGAGGAAGGAGAAAGAGCTGGTAGGAATACATCTTTTGTTTTTAAGCAATTTTTTTGGTTTTAATTTTTTGTTACTTTTGTAGGGGTTCTTTGTTGCAGTTATTTGCTTTTTAACTAATATGCCAAACAGTTCTTGTTACAGCAAATACTAGCAGAACCCTAATGGGAAACTAACCCTCTCTGACTTCAGTTCATACGTGAGAGCTCCTCTGGCAAACCTCACAGCATGAAACTTGATGTCAGTCCTCAACTGTGCAAAACTTAGCTTAAAAATATGCTGGTATATTAAAGGAAATGATGAAAGTCATTTAAAATACTAAACTTACTGAAGTGAGATACTGGAGTTTAGAAGTAAAATAAATAATATAATCAAGAACTGAAAAACATAGGGGTTTTTATAATTAACAGCTCATTTTGAGTTAATTATCTACAATTAAGAAAATCTAATTGCAATTTATTCCCTACTATGTGTGGGAAGAATCGTAGGCAAGGGAATGTGCATCACTGCCAGGCATAAATGCTATAGGATGGGTACAAATAATATAGGAGCCCTTAATGAAAAACAAAAAGCAAATGGGAGCATGCAGCTGTGCCAGGCTATTGAAAGGTAATTGTAGTCAGAAATGAGGTATGTACTTTAAAAGGCATCTTGTCATCTCCTGTAGGGATTAATTTTTTTCCCCTCATTGAAAAAGGAAAAAAAGATTGCACGAGCAAATACAGTACAGGGTTTGATTCCTGGTGCAGGTTCTGGTCATTGCCTGTGAAAAGGAAAACTTTTATCTTGGGGACTACTACAAACTATAGCCAAATTTTCTAATGGATGCCTGTTTCATTTTGTCTTCTAAATGTACCATTATGTTTTTTTAATTATCAAAGTCAGCAAGCGTGGTCCATCTCGGTCTCTTTGGATGGTCCTGGTATGAAATTGCAGTGTTGAATTTGTCGCTTCCCTGCTGGGTATATTGAGGAGCTGTTGGGAAGAAATGTGTCTGTCCTTTTGCCTGCTTGCAGCTGGGCCGGCACGTAGGACCTGAAGAGTCTTCAGATGCAGGATCTCCAGTTCTCTAAGGTGCAGCAGTCAGAGCAGGTTTTATTGAGGATGGTTTTCAGTAGCTTAAAGTGCTCCTAAGTGAGCCCACAGCCAATTTTCAGCTATGGAGGTAGAAACCTGTACAATTAATGGCAAATTCTCTAGTTGTCTGTGTAATTTCTTTTCAAGTCCGCCCCAGTGTGCAAGATGCTTTAAAATATTCAAAACAAAAGCATAATCTGATGCATTTGTTTAACATAAAACAGCCTTTTACAGAGTGTTTTCCATCTCCAAGATGCAGATGCTTGGTACATGCTCAAGTACCCACTCTGTGCATGT